TTCTACATCTGCGAACAGCAAGTAACCACACCGATATTAGTTGACGTGACATAACAGTTACAACTTTCCCGATAGCAACACATTCCATGCTAGCCTGGTTTTATTTTAGCCACTCACTAACGTTTGCCCGTGGTGTACGTAATGCATCAGTTTGCATCAGTTTGACAACAAGAAGCTTTCAGGAAATCATCTAAGCTGCAAACAACTGTCCTCCACCACAAGGAGAGAAGAGTCAACCTGAACAAATTCATTTTATATTAGGAATCATGGCCATCCACTTCCTGCACTGTCATTGCTTAAACTAGAGGTAGAATAAAATTCTATAACAGGAATGAAAATCAACGTCACCGTTCACAACTCCTTCTGTTCTTCAACTTTTCCGGTTGGAATTCTACCAGATGGGAAGTGAGATTAAAATTGAGCAGACTTGCGTACAGAAGGCGATGACCAGGCTAAGTCCATGCTAACCTACTTCCTGTTTATTACAGCCACGCATAATCTAAACATCTGACATGTTTAGATGTCAGATGTTTAGATCTTTGCGTAGCATAGCATTTGGTCTAAACCAGTAGGTGGAAACACGCCTAGTTTGTTTTGTTTTGCAAAATTTTAACAACATTAGCAATTTAGCATGAGGTAGAGACTTTGATTGGGCATGCTAAAATTTGCATGCCCAATCAAAGTCTCTACTTCATGCTAACCATGCCAAGCTAAATTGCTAATGTACCAATCTATGTATTTAATAATTACTTATATCACCATTTTTGTATAGTTACTACTACTTTTTAAACAAATTAACAGACTTTTATCCAGAAATAGTGTTTTTTAAGCACATTTTAACTTTTCAAACCCCACACTGACATAAACAGACCCAAAACGATGCCTCAGCTCCGTACCCCATACTAGTCTGTAGCAGGACTTGAAGCAGGGCGTCAGCATCTTAACAAATACCATTCAGTTGAATTATTCACGACATAGTCCTCTCCCGTTAATTCAGGAACACACAAAACTAAATTGATGAAATGTGTGTGCAGCTGTGTGGTAGCACAGCAGGCGCTGCGAAACTCCAACCAGGCAACAACCCCCTCAAATTCTGCTCTTCGCAATCAGTCCCAGGCTACCCCAGCCCACCCTGCTACTGCACACAGCCGCGTAGTCAAACACATGGCTCCCCGCTGGCTTTGGATGTGGAACTTGGCATTATTAAAGGTGTGGATGTTTAACAAGGAAGGATGGTGGGCAGGTACAATGTTGTTTTTCTTCACGTTTCCCTCCATATCTTTCTTTGGAACTGTATGCCTTAAATAACACAGCTCAAGACCACACCCACCTGATCTTCTCCTAAGGGTATGACGGTGCCTCTGTGCTGAGTTTTACTTCCAGGATTAATCTGCTACCTCGAACACCGCTGGTGTTTTTCATAAAGTAAGATGTGAAATGCGTTCTCTAGCAAAGACCCAGAAGGAATAGTTCATTCAGGACCAATGTTTACACACCCAGGGTTCTGGCGAAACTATAATGGGCATCAGAAGGAATAACAGGTGAAAGACACTTCACCCGCCTTGCCTGCTGGTGGTGATTAGAGGATCCGGTGATGCTGATTGTACGGGAGCCTCCCTTCTGTCAGACTGTCTAAGAGCAGCTGTGGCTAAACAGTAGCTTACCACCATAGGTGTGTGAATGTGTATGAATGGGTCAATGAGCTTTGGAGTCCTATGGACTTGATAAAATGCTATACCAGCACAGAGCAGTTTCCCATCTGGTGTTTGAACACATCCTACTTTCAAGAAAAACACTCAGGTGAGGCTGTTGTACTACACCTGAATGATATGCAGACATAGTGGTTGCTAGAAAACTACATGGTTCCCGTGACAACATAGAGCGACACAAACGTCAATGCACTTTGGATTAACAACACCACGTATTAAATGACCATCAGTATCTGTAGTTACACTGCAATTGCCATTGGCCACTTAAACCAGCCTTTATTTGGCTTTGAATTTTCAGAATTTTCACTCAACCATAAACACACTCAAATTATTATTTTTATCACTTTTTTTTCATTCATGTTAGCAAGATAGCCAGGGCTGTTACAAGTTCAGTAGGTTATCAAATTTGCCGAAGATAATTTGTTCAGTGTTTATCACAATGTCTAAAAAAGTTTGGAAATCAAGGATAGTTGTGATTTGGGGTCAAAATAAAGTGTCAAATATAATCAATTTGTTGCAAAATTTCATTTTTGTTCAAATCAAAAACCCGTAAGTACTATCCCTTCAGTAAAGCACATAACGAGTTAATTGAGCAAAAACGTTTACAAAAGTGATTTTGAATATAATTTGAAAATCTAACTTCATGCGACTACCTTTTAATCAATCATCAACCAAACAGATTCTGCATTAGATGGCTACACTCGTCCAGTTGCTATGGAGCCTCAAGATACACCCGAGGAGAATCAAATGACAACATTAATGTTCTTTTTTATTACTATATAGCTACAATAAGGAAGGTACACAGAGGAAATTAACATATCGTAGAGTTTAGTTGAGGGAAAATGTTCAAAAGTTTCAGGGCTTGTAAACGTCTTGAATGTAACCTTTATGAGACATTTTTGTGATTCCTTTTGTGTGACGGCTCCACCCTCACCAGAGCAACACAAACCTGGCCCGGGGCCCCGGAAAGCCCTGCCTGGCCTTACTGTGGAGAAGTAGCATTTTTCACCATTTCCTGGCCGGCTCTGAGCGAATGCCAAGCGGTGCATGTGTGTGATCCATGCTTGAACATTTCCCCTTCTTTTCGCCTTTATTGCCCGACTGCTTTAACTGCTCTAGTAAAGGTGGATTACAACCTTCAAGGGGAGCCAGCCACGCACCTTGGAAGGATTAAGAAGCAGTTTCGTTTTATGTTCCAGAGAGTAAATAGCAGCGTAAACTAGCTGTTTGAGTTGCATGTGCATACATATAGCTCCACATAAGTGCATGCATATGGGCACGGCATTACTCATCAGGAGAGAACACACATCGGGAAAACACACGAGTGCAATAAAGAGAAAGGTTGAGGTGGAAAACAATTCCTCCAAAGCTTTTCCTTTGCTAATACTCAGTTTTCATTGTGACACAAACACATTTCATCAGGTCACACTTTCAATATTACTGATCGATACTTTGCAAGGGTTTTGGTACTTTTGATATTTTTACAGATTTTTTTTCCTATTTTACACAACATATTTTATCGCTATTGGAAAAGGTAGACTAACATAGATTGTTGCTTGATTGAGAAGTGAAATGGAAAACGTGTATTAAATAGATTTTTAAAATAAAAATCTCAAAAGTGTTTCAGACATTAGTCAACTTCCTTTTATTATATTGCCATGTCCACACCCAGCCACATCTACATTTGAGAAAAATCTGTATTTATTCACTTTATTGCTTTGGCATGATTCCCAGTTCACGTGTTTTAATAACTATATTGTCTAAAATGCTATTTAAAAGTAGTTAAACCTACATATCTGTCGACGCAAATGAGCCTCCTGGCACCATGTTTAATTCCTGACAGGAAGTTGTTGTTGTTTTGAAGCACTCTGATTGGCTGGTGTAGGTTTTAGCTTTGTGCTACGCTGCCCCCTATGGGTTTGGCATGTTTAAAACAATGTTCAAGGGCGGATTTGTGCAACTGAAAACTTTTCTGAAGCCGGTCCCATGTGTATGATGTTATTTCAAACAATAATAATATTGTAAACAATGTCACAGAGATATTCGTTTTTATAAAGACCTGGCTAAGTGAATTAATTTGAACAAATTTTCAAGAGTATGTGACTTTCCTACTGCTGCGAACATATGCTTTACTTTGTCCATCACATAAAATGTGAAGACGGTAAAATTTGTGGTTTGTGCATATATTTTGACAGTGCACTATAGAAGCAACTCTAAACCATTGAACACAATCAGCACAGCAGACACAAGACCGGAACCGAAGTCCTCTTATCACTGTGTTTGGTTGGGTCTTTTTTTTTTTTTTCAAATTTTATACATCTTCTTGCAAAGCAAAACTACAGCAAGGAAACATAATTTCATTGACATACATCAATAACACTCACACTGACACACGCCACCGTACTGTTTGGTGTACTCTCCTCATTGCTTTCTCTCCATATATCTCTTTGTTGTCCCGTAAGAGACCCGATCGACCCAATAATGTGCCTTGCCAACCAAACAACTACCCTGGTTCAGCTGAAACCAGATTATTCCAGTTCTCTGTGGGCTGTCACTGAGGGAGCACAATGTGAGAGAGGCGGGTGGCTCAGCTTCATCTCTACAACAAACACTTACACACACACGCACACATCCATACACACTAACTTTCAAAGGGGAAACCTGAGTGTATTAACCGAGAGGTGTCCCTTAGTTTTGGGTCACCTCTTTATAAAAGAAAAGAGTAAGAGGACCGATATGAAGGTGACGGAAGCAGAAAAGAAAGTTCATGCTAAGGTGAAATTTGAGAACTGAGATCTGGAAGTGAACCTGCGTGTAGACATTGAGAGAGGACAGCAACAGAAGGGTGGTACAACAGGGTCATGTCCTCATTTGTGTAACCACCGCCCTGCACAACATGTGCTCAGGGGTACAATTGATTGGATTAGAAGCTAACAGCAGTTCAAACACATCAACAGATGGTTCCACATCAGCAGATGCATGTCGTGACCCTTGAGTGGAACCGCGAGTGTGCCGCAAGAATTCAATATTTATTCATGAAAGCTAAAACTGTGAAGCAGATTAAGGCATCACTGGTGAGATTCCGAGAACGTCCCAACTATGGAGTGGTTGATACTTGTTAGACATGTTCCTATCCATCATCAGCACCAACTATGTGAAAGGGAACTACTTGTACCTGTTCCGTGTTTGGCACACATATACATAGATATTTATACATGGCTAAAAAGTAACCCATCAGAGTTAAAGCAGTAGGCTAAATGCTAAAACTCAAAGAAGAAGTCACAAGCTTACCTTGGCCATTGGAGTAGTAGTAGATCCACTTCTCTCTGACCTGTGTTGGAGTCCCAGATGTCTTCTTGTGAATTGCCTTCTCCATGATGCTGCTTGGGTCCTGCATGGGGCCCTTCTTCAGCACCCGAGAGCTCCTCTTGACGCTGCACACCACGATCACGACCAGCACCAGCAGGAGCAACAGAACTATCATCCAGGGCAGGTGCTCGTTGATGTCAAAATGATCGTGCATGGTCGGCCTTGGTGACCCTCTGCGGTTGGGCCTGTAGTAGTTGGAGGCTTCACCCGCATTCCCCGAGTTAACCACGTTACTGATGCTTGTTCCAACCCTAACTACTTCTGGGCCTACTGGACCCTCCATTCTTGGTTTATTTGCCCCAGGCTCAGGATCAGCATCAGACTTGCCCAATTCTTGCTTGAGATCCATGGCTTGCTTTCGAGCCACTGACAAGGGAGTCCATGACGCTTCCTGATTTGGTGGGGTGGGGACGCCAGAATGGGTAAGCATTAACTCCACTCCTCCGTCTTCCCCGCCTACAGTTTTCCTCAGTTGAATGGCTGCTGACTGGCTCAAGGGATCTGTGATGTTTGACAATGGATTTGATGGAGACAAAGATATAGTAATAAGATGAGGAAAAGGAACACAGAGCTGGTACACAAGAGATAAGAAGCAACAGAGACACAGAAATAGGGAATTAAATTCACTCAATTTGAAATATGCTCGCCCTGATCATGAAAACAGAAGGTATTACAGGAGGAAATCCTCATCCAAGCAAACAATCTGGGATACTAGCATGGTAACCAGTGGTAGCTTCTTTTCTCCTTTATCTGTGTGCAGCATTTACTTAGGAAGAGCCTACTACTTCTGAGGTGTTGAGATGGTTAGCGCCATATTTTATAAAAAAGTAACCCAAAAAAAATGAAACAATCAATAGGGGAAGACTGCTGGTGCTGGATAGAACTTACTCTTGGTTATCATCGATTGCTCGCATGGATCAGGGTTCCATAGCGATATCTTATGTTTTAATAGACTAGGTTAAGCATATGTCCAATTGAGTGAATTTAATTAGATTTTTTGAGGATATCAATTAGCTGACATGACTGTAGAGCAGTGGTCTCAAACTCCAAAAGTTGTGTCTTTCAACTTTTCAGCCCAGCTGGTATCAATATTAGCTCATTAGCAGAGCTCTGTAGAGCTTGGCTTCATGCTAGTGACACAGTTCAGCCATTTAATTCCAGTGTGTAGAACATCTTCACTCCAGTCCAGTAAGTGGCAGTATATGCACTTAAGTAACTTTGTCAACCACAAATAAAACTTAAAAGAAGAGAGACATCTAGAGGTTGCAGGACACCAGCCCTTGAGGACTGGAGTTTGAGACCACTGCTATGGAGAAATATCTGATACTTAATCAGGAAAAGGTGTCACTCTACAGGTTAATAAAAATACTCAGGTAGGGTGTTGTGCTTAAGTGACGTTTGATTGGTATAAAGCAACCCTTAGCAACAATTGAGAAAGAAGAACTTTTTCCAATCTCCTGTTGTCCAGTTTTGGGAAGCCTGATTATTATTTTTTTGCCCCAAGCTCCTAAAATTAACCGGTGCAAGTTGCAACTTGCTTCAAAAGGTCTACATATTGTATGTTCAGAGATGGTTCCACATAGCTTGGTTTCAATAGTGGTCATTTAAACTACTGCTGTCTTTCTGCTATTTAAACAAATTTTGCTCATCGTCTCCTCAAAGCAGGAAACTATGCCACATTGAGTCAATTGAAACCTCTTTTTTTTTCGTTCTGATGTTCGAATTGAGGTGCATCAATGCATTGAGTTCCTTTAGTGCGGCAGGATGATACCCTGTGGCTACTGAGTGTACATTTCAGGCTTTGCAAGAGAATGATTTCAAATTTGTACCATCACTGCAGAGTAAAAAACTAAAAAAAAGAAAAAGATAACTGTAATGCCAATTAGCTTGTCCCCAGAAGTTAAATTTGGAGACAACAAAACACACGCGTCACACAAAATATGAACCATCAAGCTGCAGCTGGGTTCCCTGGACTGCAAGGACCCTTAATCTCTGTCTGCTCCCACTGCTTTGCTCCAGCCCCAATGTGCCCCGGCTGGTAATCACACAGCAGATGAAGTCCAAAATTGCTCACACCACAGTCTGCTTGTTGATTAAATTGAAGCCAGGGGACACCTAATCAGGATTCGACTCAGCCGAAGGAACAGTTTGAAAAGTCGTCCTGACCGACACTTCACAGTCAGTGCTGGACTCATCAGTTAGGTGAGGGGCAGTTAGGGTGGTGTGTTGCACCCAACACTAACAACAGCTGCAGAGTTAGTGTTCTCCAGGCATGGAAAAGAAAAAGTGGTTTGTCAATGTCAGTGCGTCACTTCCTGCCATTGATTATCGATGCAATCTCCAGCACCTCCCTGCTGCTTTCTGTGCTTCAGCACCCCTAATGATGATGGGAGCTGAGTTGCATAATCTCTAAATTGTCATTCAGATGTGTAATAATCCTATTTATCCTCTCATCAGCAGAACATTGCCCAGGTGTGACTCTAATCCATAAATTAAAAGTGACATTTTGACCAGAACTCTAAAGCAGGGAGAGAAAGCGCTCAGTGACAAACACAGGGAAACAGAAGGTGTTGGGGCATTTCAGAGTCTTTGGCTTTATACATACACGCTTCTGAATATGTAGCTGTCAAATGTATGACAGGTTATGTGGCTTGATTATCTTCCTAACCAAAAACTGTAAGAAAAAAAGTATCAACTCAATCAAAAGAAGTTGAAGTGAAAACCAGTGTGGCAGATGTCCCATAATGGAGAACTTTGCATTAATTGTGCCAGCAGTGTAAAACTAAGTAATTTCTATTTATTGGACAACTGCTTGGCTCCAGATTTATGAGTCTCAAAGGACAAAGCTAAGAGCTTTTAGTCCAAATTGAGTCTACTGACAGTAATCCAATTAGTTTTCAGGGCTAACCACATAAATATGTCAATAAAAAATACCTTTGGCTTGGTATTGATGTATTGCTATTATTATTATCATGAGTTATTTGTTATGCTGCGGGCATTTATAGTTGACAGGCAGAAGCGTACATGCTGAGCATGTACATATGTCTAAATGTGACTGAAAGTGTCATGTATATAACAGTTTGACTCCAAGTGGACTAGAGAAAATTCATTTAAAATGCATCTAATGCAAGTTTTTAAAAGTTATGGAAGTTAGTTGCATAATCATTCTATAGTGTAAAAAGATCAGCTTGGATATATATTTAAGCAGTAAATCAATCTAATAAATTCATCTATGATGGGTTGAACAAACAAATCTCATCAACAATTTAATTTGGAGCGGCCAAAGCGCATATCTTTTTCTTTCTTACTTTTCTTTAATCTGCCACTATGAAAATTACAGTTGATTTTTCAGTATTAAACTTTAATACTGAAAAATCAACTGCATACTTTGGTTTTTTTAATGTTACTGGAGCTGATTATTTAGACAGACAGGACGTTGGAGGCACCAATCATGTTTCGACTTTTACTTGTTCTAACACTATTTTAAGCTACAAAAGATTCACTGATAAGCTAATTGTTTTTAGCACAACATTTCCAGAGTCCAATCAGATTGTTTTTTGAAAATATTGTTAACCTCCAGAAGGCCAAGAGAAGCAGCTTTGTCGTCCGTCAGTGTTGTTTGCAAATGTTGCTTGTGCGTTAGATTTACAGGCGTACCAGAAACACAATACAAAGGTTCCTCCTCTGGGCTTTTGTACGTAAACGACCAAATTGCATTTAAAAAATTTTCCGTGTTAAATTCCATGTATTTAATGAATTGAAATCACCAAGTTAAAGTCTCGGCTCTGGCTTAAAGGGCCTGGAAAAGCCTGCAGCCCACACTGTGTAAGGTGGATATAACAATCAATGTAACATCTCTGCTGAACATTTCTGGTTGCTAGGAGATGTGTGATGTAACCTCCAATTATCTGAGTTATAGAAAAAAAAAGGAACAAACTGACTTCCTCTACAGAAACTTTACAACTCAATCTAATCTTCCTCTCCTTTCTGAATGAGGGTGACCACCCACCCCCTCCTCTACCATCGGTAAATAGCAGGTGTAAGCTAACAGCCCCCACCAATCCCCCCCCATGGTTCTAACAGCTCAGACGGTGTCAAATTAACTGGCTCAAAGGCCATCGATCCCCTGCCAACACAAACAGCAGTGACAGTATTATGGCTGTGGGGGGTTTAGTGGAGGAGAGGTATGCTAGTTATGGATGGTTGATTCTGAGAAATGACTGCTTGGCTGGCTCAGACGAGCATGACGTAAGAACGGGTAAGGACATGACGAGTCCGGCAAACCAACGGGAAAATGTAGGGGAACTACCGAGGGTTTTTTCTCTACCAACAGGAGAAAAAGAAAAGAAGAAAGATGAAACAAGAGGACAGAAACAACCTTGAGTCCCCTTGAAAATGCAATCATTCCTGGCATACAGGGGCAGCCTGCTGTTTCCGTGCCAACAGATATCCCACCTATGAGAATTCTAGCCTGGATGAGACAGTGGAGGGGTGGGGGGGGGCATTTGTGCAATGAGGATGCAGCACTTCAAAAAAATACATAACCTGCAGCCATGTAACAGTTTTCAAAATGTTTCCACATTTCTTCATGTGCAACAACAGGCCTCAATGTGCTTTGCTGGGATTTTATGTAATAGCAAATTAGCTCACACATAGTATTATAGTATTAAGCTTTTTTTTACTAACAAAAATGTGACATACATTTTTATGAAGCCCTTCCTAAGTCAAGACTTTGTAAAGTCAGCTTTAACTCCAGCAACAGCTGTCGGCACTTGCTGGAATGTCGCTACTGGTTCACATTTGGACACGGAAGGTTTTTCTTTTCAAAATAGCTTCATGTCAGCCAACGATTATGTAGAGAATACGCAAGAGTCTATTTCCAAGTCTCGTTGCAGTTTTTCATTTTCAGGTTTAGACTTTGACTGGGCCATTTTAACATAAATAGGCTTTGAACTAAAACACTCCACTGTTTGTGGTCATTTTCTTAGTGGTAAGTGAACCTTAAAACTTCCACACTTTTAATTCTTCAAACAAGTTTTCTTAGCAAATGCAGTCACTTATGTTTCATGTCATTTCTCCTCTAGGGATTTGATTTTACTGAGACAAAAAAAACAAAAAAACAACAACAAAAAAAAACAGGAAGTTAATCTGAATAGGAATTCTTCTCAACAAAAGAGAAGTGCATGATGGCCGCCTCACCTTTACGTTCATGCCCATTCAATGATGGGGAGACCGATGACATCATCGTCTCCTGAACAAACACAGCCTGTGCAGGCCCCAGTGGAGTGGTCGGGGGGACAGATGACAAAGTGGCAGAAGGGGGTCCACACACGTTATCCGTTTGTCTTGTCCCTGGTGTCAACAGCAGCCTTGCCAGAGCTTTGCAGTCTGTGTGATTTCTGCAACTCATGGCGCTGGATTCCACCTGAGAAAACGTGCCCTTCGTGCACGGCTTGCAGAGAACGTCTTCCTTTTCGTTGCCGCGCCTTTTCACCCGGGTCCCGGGTGGGCACAGGGAGTGGGGCTTGCACTCCAGACCACCGCTCTTCAACAGGAATGTGTTGGGCGGACAGGTGCAGACTCGGTCCTGGGTGGCCATGCACGGCGCCTTCTCGATGAAGCCTGCGGGACACGGAGCCCGACAGCGGTGGCATTGCTGGACGCCGTTCTCGCCCCGTGTGAAGGTGCCACTGGGGCAGGGGCTGCACTCCCTCACTGTTGTCGGAGAGCAGTGGACGGAGACGTAGGTGCCTGCTGGGCACTTGTCACAGACCAGCTGGGTGCCAGAGTCCCGGTCTGTGTGCTGATAGTGGCGTGGAGAGAGGAGGGGCTGGTCGTCTGCGGTGGATGTGGTCAAAGCTCGGGCTGAGATGTCAGCCACCACCGTGCACAGGAGCTGAGAGGAGAACAAGAAACATCAGATCAGTTGGTTTAGAATATAAATTATTTTCATCTTGCTTTGGTAGGATAATCTGACATCTGCTTTCTCTGTTCGGATGGTAGTTGAAGACATTAGTGTCAAAGTTACTAACGTCACTCTTTCGTCCTGATTTGTCTTAAAGTGGCTACACAAGGTAAAAACTGAAGGGTGTTAAGTTATAGTTATATCCTGAAGCCTCTGCCATCATAGAATTCCTCATAATGAAACTCACTGACTCATCCTGAGACTCAACCAGCACAGAGTTTATGGGCTTTTTGTCACAGCTGATGATTCATCCCCCAGTGTAAGCTGTAGTTGTTGCTTTGCCTCCACAGAATGCCCTCTCACCTCTCCTTGGAAGTTGTCAGCTTCCTAGATTTGGTGGAATGACACACACCTCTGGGTTCAACATCACAGACAGACTGAGTCATGCATGTGTAACACTACCTGGAACACGAAAGGCACAGATCTTCCACTCGAGAGAAACTTAGTGCAACGTTTCGTAGCTTTTTTTAAGTTTTAACTCTCAAACTAAAGATGGTAAAAGCTGCTCCACACGGTAAAGCTGTGTGGTTTAAAAAGTGTAATACTTTCTGAAACAAATGGATCATACAACCTGAACTACACTAGTAGAAAGTGGTCTACTGGTAAAAAGTGTCATGTAATGTACATATGTACATAGCCTGAGTCAGTTAACCAAAGTGCCTTTCATAGTCGTAAACTGAGGGTCGGACATTCTGTTTTAGGATTTGCTGCAGGTATTCCAGGTTCTGCCACCATGTTTGACTGCATGTATGATGCTGTTTCTCATAAATCTTTTTAGTTTGGGAACTTTGTGGTGGTGCAGTTCATGGCACTGCTCCCCTGGTGAAAGAAGATCCTGGCTTCTTCTTTGTGTGGATTCTGCATGCTTAACCATACATGTTGTCTATGGCTGTTGGTGCTGTGAGTCGATCTGTTGCTTCGTGATAGACTGGTGTACTGTTCATGGTGTACCCAGTGCAACCCTGGATTGTTGAGCAGGTATTGAAAATGGATGGATGTTTCAGTTGTACACAACCCGACAGGACAGAACCTTCTAAAGAATCCCACTTTTGTCTCGTCAGTCCCCTGAATATGTCCCCAAAGATCATCAGATGTTTTTTTAGCATATGCGCAATGGGACAGGGTGTTCTTTTGAGTCACTAGTGATTTTAGACTTGGAACTGTCCCATGATACTATTCTTGCTGCTGAATCATGAACACTGACATTAACTGAGTAAAGCGAGCCCTGTTGTGGTTTAGGTGTTTGTCTTTTATGAATTCCAGGATAAATCATTGCTGTGCTATTGTCCAATCCAATCAAATTTGACATCACTCCTACTGGAGTGATGTTGTTAGGCCAGTCCAATAATTGAAACGTTTATTATCCATACATGTTTTTAACATCAATGGCCCCTGTATGGCTCTGACTCTGGTTTACTAGAGTCCCAAAGCTTTCAAACTGGCTTTTCAACCCCTTCCAGGCTGAGAAGTGTAAACAACTGTTTCATATTGGCTCCAGTTGGTCAGCATAGCTAAAATTTCTTTAATATAAATACAATCATATTTGATAAAGTGCATATTTAGTCTTCGGAGCTTATAGTTGTTTTACAATGACAGTTGTTTCCCATATTTTTAAGTCTTTTTTAATCTGTTAAAGGGCAAATACCTTCCTTAACCCTTTTTAGCCTTATAATTTGTATACCAGTCCATGTTACTTAGACACTAAGTCTTCACTAGAAAGATTTTACACTCACATTGGAGGTGAAAGGAAAAATCTGTGGTATGATTGGAAATATTTTTAAAAAGTGATTTCCAAAAAATCAGTTCTTATAATAATTACAGAAACACCAGCAATACCTTCAGAGCTGACAGGGTTGACCTTTCATCCACCAGTCTGCTGCCCTTTCATCACCACAACATCCATTCAGTCCATTGTGTTCATTCCCAGAACCTCATCCATAAACATCAGAGCATGCTGTCAACATACAGCATCCAACTCTGTTGCGTCACTGATATCAATGCGTTCATTCACATCCATGTTCAAAGTGAAAAACTTCAGGCCGGGAGCGCGTGTCATGGGAAAATGAGAACATTCTGCTGGTTCCAGGGAACAATGGACAATCTGCCCCGGCTCTCTCTGCTGGTTTAGTCTTCAGAATCACCTCAGCTTGACCCTTATTGTTGTGGACTTATTTACCAATCGGTGTGAGTTTTGATCAAAAACCTGAAATAAAGGATAAGTGTTCTATGTTGGAAAAGGTACTAAATACCCAAATGTCAGTGGGTAAATGTGGAATAATTCTGAAAAATTTGTAGTTTTTTCCAGTACTAAGATATGCTGTTCATTCAAAACGTGTACACACCTGTCTTACATTGGTGTCATCAAAACTGTCATAAAGAAACACACTAGTACGCACTACACACATATTCTTGCAAATCCGTCAGCATTGCATCAGGTTCTTAGCAGCCATTTTGTTCCATTTCAAACTTAATTATCCTGTATTTTCTGTAACTAAAGTTGGCTGACTTCACTGTGCCATGGTCACTGCTGTCATCATAAATCTCCATAACCAAACCGCTAATATTTTCATGTAGAAATATACTGATAAATTACCAAAGAATGTGAATTTACAATAATAGCGCAATTCCATTTTTAGGTACAGTGTATGTCTCAGACAGCAAGAATATGCTGTACCCTTCTCTTGACTGATACCTTATAACAGTGATGCTCCTCTGCAAACTATCCATAGAGTATGTCAGAACAAACCTTCAGGGAGAGCAGAACATTGACTACAGTTCATTAAATCAGCAAAACATTCACTTAAGGGTGTGCAGACTTGTGCAATCAGTCTCCTGGAGTGTTTTTATGTTCTATATTTTCATATTTCAGCCCCAGAAGAAAATACTCACCAGTTCTTTTAAGACTGAGAATACAGGGTTAAAAAGCTACTGATTGGTCCAGGTCAGGACTGCATCTTTTGGGCTTTCTAAGCAGACAGATTCCAGACGCCTCAGCACTTTTTAACCATATGGAGCTAAGCACTGTGACAGCTGCTACTCAGCATGTTAAGGGAGCAGTGCGATGGGCTAATGGCAACTAAATACCTGCTCCTAATTGACTGCTTGTTCATATCTGTGTCTCCTTCCCTGTGTGGTCAACAACCCCCCTGCCTTCATCTAGACTAAAATCAGCCCTGCCATTTAGAAAATTTAAAAAATGCAAAGCCATCAAAGACACAAAGCAAACAAAGTGCAGTGCTAGCATTTTCACACTACACACACACACACTTAGAAAAATGCACACACACCGCATGGAGTTACTGTCTGGAGCCAGTGTAGCAGCCACCTCTGCTGATCAGCACTACATTAATCCATTTCAGTCCTTCTGCTGCCAGGGTTGGGTCTTTCCTGCCAACTCCTCCTCAATCCGCCTGCACCACTAAATACGTGATCAGTCTGGGGCGCAGGACGGCCAACCAATCAGAGACCATGATTCAAGGTGGGTTAAGCCTGGGGAAAGGGCAATTTTATTTACCCCGACCTCAACCATCCCCTCTGCATACAAAATTGACATGCATGTGTTATCCTAAAGTCTCTGAGTCCCAAGTCCAAACTCTGTCACAGATTCAAAAGAAAATGCTGAAGTGTAGTAAAACTAAACGGAGCTCTGTGAGGTCTTTAGTTTTTTGTGATTCTGCAAAAGTGGGAATTCAGATAAATTCAACAAGTACCTGCATATTATTTGTGTGAACGCATAGTGGTAAGTTTGTTGAAAATATTTCTCAAAAAATGGTCAAACTGAAAACATTGTGTTTCAGTAAGTGCTACCTCCCACCAGCAGGTGGCAGTAGTTCTTATGGCCTCAAAAGGCAAAGTTTTTCCACTACCTGTGGTAAAACCCAGCATAAAAGTAACAGCTGCTCTTTGTTCTCTAATGTTCCCTAAGGGCGTTTTCACACCTGACCGTCCAGTAGCCTGTGGGGGCGCTGCAACAAGAACCAATGAAGGAAACGACATGAACATTTCTGAAGAAGAACTGAGTGGAACATCCTTCTTCACGAAATGCAAACAAAAATTAAATTGTAGGATTTCTCTTTTTTCTTTCTCAAATGACCACAATCCATTTCTTCCGCTAGCGCTATGTACACACATTTGTTTTGGTTGTATTCACCCAGAATGCCCTGTGCTATAGTCCACTTCCTGCTTTTGGTGCCGTCTCCCGTCCAGTAGGCGTTCACAAACCACGCCAGAGTTTATTTCAACCGTGCTGAGCGATAAGTTTGTATGCGGAAAGAGTTTGGTCCACATCTGAGTTTGATTAGGCGTTCACACCTCCCAAATGAACCAGAGAAATGGACTGGAGTTGGATTAAAGCGGACTAAACGGGTGGGATGAATGAACACCCCACCCCTAAAACAACATTAGAGAACCAGAAACTGAACACCTGTAAAAATTTTGAAATGACGTAACTCTAACTGTTCTCTGTTTATTGGCTTCTGAAGCCAGTTGGTTGTACTGACTTTTAATTGAGGCTACCAGTGTGAATACGAATGCATCCCACACTATTTGATGTGGACTTGTAAAAAAAAAA